AGAGATGCTTTTGACAAAAGGAGTTTTGTCGTCAAGTAAGTTTAAGAAATGCTACACAATCTAGGCCACTTTGCAAGACGCATAATGCAAACAGATGTTAAAAGCGCTGAGAAATCTTACAACAAAGAACCTGTTTATCCCAAATTGTTCTAAACTTACTCACCATGAAACCCTTTTAACTAATGCCTATTGACATCTCATTCGAATAATCAGCTTATGTTCAGAGAGAAGTCTAGTCAAGGCCAGGTCACCAAAGGCTCCCATGCACCAGGTGAAATGAACACCCCCTTCTAGTTTTATTTGATGTGAGGTCACTTGGTAAGTTCCTATTTTCACAAAATCATGCCCACACCCCAGAGTTTGTTGTCACAGTGCTCTTGATTCTTTTTGTCATATTTAACACAGTGATGACTAAACAATACAGCTTGCTATAAATCAGTTACGAAAGGGAAGTTTTAGTGCAGATTTTCCAACCTGGAAGTCAGACCATATAAGTCAGTGTCCACGGAAAGTTAAATATCTGATAAAATGTCAGAACAAAGAATGAGTGTGAGTTCCTCTAGAATAATTATAGATTAAATAGTTATGATAATAAATTCAATTAGTCTGTTCACTTATTCTCTAATTTGAAGTCCAATTTATTTTTAACAGACTTGTTCAACATCTAGTGGACTGCTGAACTAACTCATAATTCTATCCAAACCCAATTTTCCCTTAAAGTTTCACTTTCAGTTTTTGAGATTATAATTATTAAAATGATATGATAACTGATTATGGGAAAAGTAAAATATTATAGAGGACAGGAAAGTGATAATAAAGTACACTGATACCGTAATGTATTTGTAAAAGACCTAATTTTTTTCATATTCATTTATAGACTAACACATAATTTGAGAAGAAAATTTTAAAATGTTTCCTACATATGATGTTTCGCAATTTTGTCTATTTATTTTCCTGTCTCAAAACAATACATATTGCTGGCAGAGTTTTCCTTAAGCAGCCGCTACCTGATACTGAGAGAGTTGAAGAAACCTAGACAGCCCAGTGTTCCTTTCTCGTCTTCACACTTTATCTTCATCATCTTTTATTTAAAAAAAAAAATAGAGATAGGATCTTACTCTGTTGCCCAGGCTGAACTTGAACTCTTAGGCTCAAGTGATCCTCCTGCCTCAGCCTCCTAAGTAACTGGGATTACAGGTGTGTACCACCACCCCTGGCTTCTTTCATCTTTTTATATCATCTGGAGTTCTCCAAAAGTCTTCAATTCCATGGTAAAAAGTAGCTAAGTCTGCCAATATCTGCCTAATTCTTTTTTGAGGACAGAGGTGCTTATGTTCCAAATTTCAACATTTTAAGGAAGAAACCATAAGGAAACATACTAACAAGTATTTGCAAATAATCTTATTCTCAGATCAATATACCATATAGTGTGTCAGCCTGATTTTAAAAGTCTTCAAATTCAACCCCTGAAGCAGCGTTACTTGTATTCAAAGACCAATTGCAGCAGAATCATGTAAAAATATGAAAATGCAGATCCCTCGGCTTACCTCAGACCTATATTCTCTGAAGGTAGAGCTGAGGGTTCTGCAGGTTTAATGGGCCCTATTGGCGCTAATCAAATTAACTATGGAATTTCTTTTTTTCAGCATTTAATGATAGCTCCACTTACAGAGTTGCTAATCAGTACTTCTGGCATGAGGGTGCTGGGGTGAAGTGGGGAAGGTACATGGCATCTGTGTTTACTAAGAATTCTGAGGGTTACTTGAATGCACACTGGGGGGTTGAGAATTACTGCACCAACAGCTAATTTAAAAAAAAAAAAAAGAACAAACGTTGAAAGATGTATTTGATTATGATTTGCCAATGAATTGTTATTTAATCTGGAAAAGTAAGGATGGGCAAACATAATCTAATTTACAGTAATTATTAGTGAAGGGTGGGGGGATTCAAGTGAATAGAAGATCAAATGCTATGACTTCTCAACATAAAAAAGTTCATGCTTTCATTTCCATGAGCTTAATTCTCTCTCCTCTCTCCCTCGCTTTTTTTTTTTTTTTTTTTTTTTTTTTTTTTTTTTTTTTTTTTTTTTTTTTTTTTTTTTTTTTTGAGGAAATGCACTTTTTAAACATTTCAATAGTTTTTGGGAAAACAGGTGGTTTTTGGTTACATGGATAAGTTCTTTAGCAGTGATTTCCGAGATTTTGGTGTACCTGTCACCCAAGCAGTGTACACTGTACCCAATATATCATCTTTTATCCCGCATCCGCCTCCCACCATTGCCCCAGAGTCCCCAAAGTCCATTATATCATTTTTACGTTTTTGCATCTTCATACTTACTTCCCACTTATGAGTGAGAACATAAGATGTTTGGTTTGCCATTCCTAAGTTACTTCACTTAGAATAATGGCCTTCAACTTGATCTAGGTTGCTGCAAATGCCATTACTTTGCTCCTTTTTATGGCTGCATAGTATTCCATGGTATCTATATACACCACATTTTCTTTATCCACTCATTGGTTGATGGGCATGTTGGCTGGTTACATATTTTTGCAATTGCAAATTGCGCTGCTATAAACATGCATGTGCATGTATTTTTTTCATATAATGACTTCTTTTCCTCTGGGTAGATACCAAGTAGTGGGATTTCTGGATCAAATGGTAGTTCTACTTTTAGTTAAGGAAACTACATACAGATTTTCATAATAGTTGTGCTAGTTTACATTCCCACCAGCAGTATAAAAGTGTTCCTTTTACACCACATGCATGCCAACATCTATTATTTTTTTATTTTTACATTATGGCCATTCTTACAGGAGTAAGGTAATATCTCATTTTGATTTGCATTTCCCTGATGATTAGTGATGCTGAGCATTTTTTCATAGGTTTGTTGACCACTCATATATCTTCTTTTGAGAATTGTTTATTCATATCCTTAGTCCACTTTTCGGTGGGATTATTTGTTTTTTTCTTGCTGATTTCTTTGAGTTCCTTGTAGGTTCTGGATATTAGTCCTTCGTCTAGAACGAAAACTTTGCATGGTTTGCAAATATTTTCTCCCACTCTGTGGGTTGTCTGCTAACTCTTCTGATTGTATCTTTGACTGTGCAGAAGCTTTTTAATTTAATTAGGTCCCATCTATTTATCTTTGTTTTTGTTGCATTTGCTTTTGTGTTCTTGGTCGTGAGGTCTTTGCCTAAGCCAATGTTCGGAAGAGTTTTTCCTATGTTATTTTCTAGAATTTTTATGATTTCGGGTCTTAGATTTAAGTCTTTGATCCATCTTGAGTTGATTAAGGTGAAAGATGAGGATCCAGTTTCATTCTTCTACATATGACTTGCCAATTTTCCCAGCACCATTTGTTGAATAGGGTGTCCTTTCCCTATTTTATGCTGTTGTTTGCTTTGTCAAAGATCAGTTAGCTGTAAGTATTCGGCTTTATTTCTGGGTTCTCTGTTCTGTTCCCTGGGTCTATGTGGCTATTTTTATACCAGTACCATGCTGTTTTAGTAAGTACAGCCTTGTGGTATAGTTTGAAGATGGGCAATGTGATGCTTCCAGATTTGTTCTTTTTGCTTAGTATTGCTTTGGCTACACAGACTTTTTTTACTCCATATTAATTTTAGGATTTTTTTTTCTAGTTCTTTGAAGAATGATGATGTTATTTTGATGAGAACTGCATTGAATTTATAGATTGTTTTTGCCAATATGGTCATTTTCACAATATTAATGCTACCCATCCATGAACGTGGGATGTGTTTCCATTTGTTCTTCTTATCTATGACTTCTTTCAATAGTGTTTTGTAGTTTTCCTTGCAGAGATCTTTCATTACCTTGGTTAGGTATATTCCTAAGTATTTTATTATTTTTGTAACTGTTATAAAAGGGGTTAAGTTCTTAATTTGATTCTTAGCTTGGTTGTTGACGGTGTATAACAGTGCTACTGATTTGTGTACCTTGATTTTGTATTCTGAAACTTTACTGAATTAATTTATCAGACCTAGAAACTTTTCAAATGAGTCTTTAGGATTTTCTAGGTATATGATCATATCATCAGTGAACAGCAACAGTTTGATTTCCTTCTTACTAATTTGGATGCTCTTTATTGCTTTCTCTTATCTGATTGCTCTGGCTAGGACTTCCAGTATAATGCTGAATAGAAGTGGTGAAAGTGGGCATCCTTGTCTTTTTCCAGTTCTCGGGAGGAATGCTTTCAACTTTTCTCCATTCAGTATAATGTTGGCCGTGAGTTTTTCATAAATGGCTTTTCATAGTTTGAGGTATGTCCCTTCTATGCTGATTTTGCTGAAGGCTTTAGTCCTGAAGGGATGCTGGATTTTGTCAAATGTTTTTTTCTGCATCCATGACCTTAATTCTTAACCCTGGCTGCTCTTTAGAATCCTCCAGGATTAAGCTTTAAACAAATAGTGATGCCTGGGCCCTACTCCACAACAACTAAATCAGAATCTCCATGGTGGGGGCCTAGACTCCTGCTTATTTTAATGGCTTTCAGGGTGACTCAAGTGTGCAGCCAGCCAGAGCACCACTACTCTGTGACATATGAGAAGCTGTTGAGTCACCTGCTGTTGCTGACATTATAAGCAGTTCATGTTCTCTTTCAGACACTTGGAGGCTAGGTCTTTAGGGGAAGTGAATGCTTGGCACTGTTCTTTCATCTCTTGTTTCCACTTCTTGAACCACCATCATTGGGAATTACTGCTTTATTTCTGATAGCAGTAATATACAAATAATTTTGCCACCTGCTTTCTTGCCATAATTATGAAGCAGCATATTTCTTAAAGTCCAGAAAGTTATATAACTTACAAATATGTTAGTTAAAATTTCCCTACCTCAGGAGGCAAGAGGGTAGCGTTTGTGGAATTTTGTGATTCGTTGCTTGGCAACTATATCTAAGACAGTTAAGCTTCTGCACTCTGTGAACTGTTGAGTCACAAAGTTTGGTGAGCCCAGTCAATTGCTTCCTGCTACTAGAAGAAAATTAGTTCTTCATTATGCAGAGGACTTGACAACTTGTCATCCAGAGCAGGCCTTTCGTAGTTATGTCACACTTCTTCTACTTGACTCCACAAATTCTTCTGCCCTTTAGCCCTCTTACTTCTCAAGAGTTTGATCTGATCAGACGCAAGGCTGGAGCATCTTGGCAGGATGAAACTCGATGGTCAGATTCTTCTGTGACAACATACACAGGCAGTTACCGGAAAAAACAACTGGACAAGTCCACATGTAGCCGATTTTCTTTAAGAGCAGGACAGCATGAGCCTGAGTGTAAACAGTAAGCTTTCTTTGTAATTTGCACCTGGATATATCACTATAAATAGACAAGAGTGCTCTTAGAAGAAAGAGGTATTGTAGACCCTGAGAGACTTCATAGACTTTAACCCTCTATATTTTCTTTTATACATGTCAGCAGGAAGAAGAGCTAAATGTCAGTGACCAGCTGAAATTATGATCTTATTCTCTATTTAGTACTCTTAAAGTTACATATAGCTACCTACTCCTGAAAGGATATGGATATGAATATTTGACTAAATTTTGGAAATTTTGGGTTCTCTTTTCAGCAAAAAGGTGCTCCTGCGAATTTTGCTTTGTGTCTTGATTAGTTTTCTGGCTTTCGGGAGCTTAAAATTTCCTTCAGAGCAGGAAGAAATTGACTAAATCCTCTCCTACTCCCTACCTGTGGTTATTGCATTTTCTGAGTGTTTACTGTAAGCCAGGCCCTGTGATAAGCCCATAATCAAAAAAATTAATTTCAATTTGATACAGTGACTGCAACTATAGAAATAAGTAATCAGTGCAAACAAAGGAGATTTTGTGGGTGTCTGGTGGGGGAGGGAGTGTTCTGTGTCAGAAGAGAGCTCAGTAAAGCAGGTTTCTTCTAAGCTGGTTTGGAAGGCAAGTGAGGTGGAGAATGGAAAAGCACACTGCATGGAGAAAAACATTCAGCCCCAAGCACTATCAAGGAGCTGCAAGGATCTCAGTAGTACATTTGAGAAAGTAAAAGTAGAGATGTGGAAAAATGTCAGGACTCATTATGAAATCTATCCTTCTGTATATATTAATTGGTAAATCTTTTACCCAAATTCTTGAAACCTATTTGATAATCAGTTAAATTATTAACTTCAACTTCAGATATGAGGAATAACTCACATAATATCCTGATAAATATTAGTTATATTGCCATCCAGGCCTTTCCAAATTATCAAAACTAAGTGCTTAAAGCTAAAATGTCTCAGAAGTACTTTCTAATTGGGTGCCTTGCCTGGTTTAGTCTAACAAACTATAATTTCTGCATTTTTAAAATAAATCTCAGCTATGTTGACACTTAATTAGCTTTGGACATCCCTTTGCTAATTTTGTGATACTTGAGGTTCCTCTTGGCCAGATAGTGAAGTTGTCTTAGTCCATTTTCTGCTACTATACCAGGATACCACAGACTGGGTAAATTATAAATAATGGAAGTTTATTTGGTTCATGGTTATTGGAGGATGAGAAGTCCAAGAACATGATGTCAGCATCTGGTGAGGATCATCCTATGGCAGAGGGTGAAAGGTGAAAGAGAGCACTTGCAACAGAGAAAGACACCAGAAACTCAACTTGCTTTAAAACAACCTCCTCTTGAGATAACTAACCTGCTCCTATGATTAATCTATTTGTGAAGATTCCACACTTATGACCCAGTCACCTCTTATTAGGCCTTACCTCCCGAAACTATTGCATTGGGGATTAAATTTTTAACACATGAACTTTAGAGTGACACACTCAAACCGTAACAGGAGTCTTTAAGCACTACTGAGGTCTTTTCTGAAAATAGTGTTTGAAATGAAGGTGGTATCCAAACAGATCCACTTACCAGAACAGGAAAAAAAAGGTACTACATTTAATAATTCTGAAAAAAATACAAGAACAAGACATTTGGTGAAACTGTATAGAACTTTGTTTTTTTTTTCCTATTCAGAGTGTGATCATTATGTGAATCATTCCAACCAAGGCGGCCTGTGACATTGCAAACCACAAAAGAGCATGAGCTGTGAGGTTCATCTGTTTTTGGAACCTCAGAAATGTAAATATATTCTTCGCACAACTATTTCTTATTCTATTAGAAGCTAAGAAGAAACAAGTGTTATAAATGAAGATGAAGTACAGATTGTGCTCATTTTGAAAGTACTGATTATATTCTAAATTTGCTTTTGTTTTTAATCTTTTTCATGGCTAATTTTAGCCCCAAGGACAAATGTCTTTTTAAGTTCTGAGCAAAAGCTATTTGATTAAAATTCTGTAAGCCTATAGAGAGACATTTTACATTGCTATAAAATCAGAATGGTCCAAGGAGGATTATTGGGACAAAACATAAAATGATTGATCATTTAAAGTGGGTTAAGTCAGGAAAGAATTAAAATATACAAAACATTATACTTTTTATTCATCATTTTTATTTACCATGCATTGAATATTCATATTGTGTGAGATAGAAGAAACTTGGTAGAAGTCCTGATAATTTGGTTCTGAACCAGTTTTAACCATAGATATGTAAATTTATAAACATAATCAAAGGAATTCTGCATTTGGAGCATAGAGATTAGTGTGATACAGACCTTAAGCTATTATGAAATATTGGTGTCAATCCCAGTTGTCTGCCAAAGTTAAAATAAGGGAAGAGTCACATTTTGAAATTCCTAAGCCAGGAATATGGCTCAAGTATAAATTATTAAGTCTTGATTCTTTGTGTATTCAAGACAAGGAATGGAATGGCATACAAATTGGGAAGGAAGAAATAAAACTGTCTTTGTTTACAGATGACATTATTATCTACAAAGAAAACCTGAAAGAATCAGAAAAACAAAACAAACCTGGAACTAGTAAGCTATTACAGCAAGATGCAGAATATAGGGTTAATATATAAAAATATTACTTTCCTATATATGAGCAATAAACAAGTGGAATTTTAAATTAAAAACATGATACCATATACATTAGCATCTCTCAAAGTTAAATACTTAGGTATAAATCTAACAAAATACATACAAGATTTATATAAAATATAATAAAACTACAAAATTCTGATGAAAGAAATCAACCAAGAGCCAAATAAATGGAGAGATTTTTCTATGTCCATGGTTAGGAAGACTCATTATTATCAAGATGTCAGCTCTTCCCAAATTGGTCTATAGATTAAATGCAATTCCAATCAAAATCCTAGCAGGTTAGTTTGTGAATATCAACAAACTAATTCTAAAGTTTATATGGAGAGGCAAAACACCAAGAATAACCAACACTATATTGGAGAAGAACTTAGAGTTGGAGGACTGACACTACCCAACTTTAATGCTTATTTTAAAGCCAAAGTAATCAAGATAGTGTAGTATTGGTGAGAGAACAGATCAGTGGAGCAAAATGGAGATCCTAGAAATAGACCCACATAAATATAGTAACTGCTCTTTGACAAAGAAGCAAAGGAGCAACTATTGTTCTTTTCAATAAACGGTGCTGAAACAAATATTCATATGCCAAAAAATTAACTGAGACACAAACCTTATATCATTCACAAAAAATTAACTCAAAATGGATCATAGACCTAAATGTAAAATGTAAAACTATAAAACACCTAGACGATAACAAGAGAAATCTTAAATGACTTTGGGTATGTCAATAGCGATGACTTTTTAGACACAACACCAAAGGTATGATCCATGAAAGAAATCATTGATAAGCTGAATTTCGTTAAAATTAAAAACATCTGTTCTGAGTAAGACAATGTCAAGAGAATGAGAAGAGAAACCACAGACTGAAAGGAAATATTTGCAAAGGACATATTTGACAAAGAACTGTTATCCAAAATATACAAAGAACTCTTAAAATGAAACAATAGGAAAACAATCTAATTACAGAATGGGTCAGCAGGGTGAGGTGGCTCACGCCTGTAATCCCAGAACCCTGGGAGGCTGAGGTGGGTGGATCATGAGGTCAGGAGTTTGAGACCAGCCTGGCCAACGTGGTGAAACCCCGTCTCTACTAAAAATGCAAAATTTAGCTGGGCATGGTGGTGGATATCTGTAATCCCAGCTACTCAGAAGACAGGTGTAGGTTGCAGTGAGCCAAGACCACACGATTACACTCTAGCCTGCAGGACAGAGTGAGACACTGTCTCAAAAAAAAAAAAAAGAAAAAAAAAGGCAGGGGTGGCCAAACAGGCCGGGTGCAGTGGCTCACACCTGTAATCCCAGCACTTTGGGATGCTGAGGCAGGAGGATTGCTTGAGCTCAGGAGTTTGAGACCAGCCTGGGCAACATGGTAAAAACCCGTCTCTACTAAAATACAAAAAATTAGCCAGGTTTGGCGGTGTGTGCCTATAATTCAAGCTACTAGGGAAACTGAGGCAGGAGAATTGCTTGAACCTGGGAGGCAGATGTTGCAGTGAGCTGAGATACTGCACTCCAGCCTGGGTGACAGAGCAAGATTCCTTCTCAAAAAAAAAAAAAAGGGGGTGGGGGGCCAAAGATTTTAAACGACACCTCACCAAAGGGATATACAGTTACACAGTTGGCAAATAATCATATAAAAAGATGTTCCACCACAACATATGTCATCAGGGAAATGCAAATTAAAATAACAATGAGATACCATTACATACCTATCAAGAGTGAACCCCTCAGGTAAACTATGGGCTTGGACTGATAATTGATGTGTCTGTGTAGGTTCATCAATTGTAACAAATGTACCACTTTGGTGGGGGATGTTGATAATGGAGAAGCTATGAATTTGTAGAAACAGGAGGTATATGGGAAATCTCTGTACATTCGTCTTAATTTTGCTATGACTGAAAAGCTGCTGTTAGAAAAAAAGTCTTTAAAAAATTGAAGCAGAGGAAGCTGGGGAGTGGCAAGGAGGGCTGCTTTAAAAGGGATGGTCAAAAGGCAGGAAATATTATGGTTAAGGAAAGACATTTTCTAATAATAAATGAGTCAACCAAATAGGAGAATATAGCAATCCCAAATTTGTCTGCATCTAATAACATAGTCTCCAAGCTTGTTAGGTAAAACTGAAAGAGACAAAAGGAGAAATAAGTAGATACACAATCATAATTGAACATTTTAACATACCTGTCTCAGTAACTGATGGAAAAAACAAATCATTAAGAAGGGCAAACCAAATTTGAACATGATTAAGACACTTGTCCTAATTGACATAACTACCAACCACAGAATATACATTCTTTTCAGGAGTATATGGAATATTTTCAAGAATTGACTATAACTTAGGACATTAAAAAGCAAC